ATATTCTGCAACAATGCATAAGATTCTAATAAGATTACTGACATTTAGAAATGGGAGGAAAGGAGCTAAAGGTGTAGGGAAGGTGTGATACGTAGGGGAAGAACAAAAAGGGAAAAGAAAAAAATGTGAGAGAATGAAAAGATGAAAATAAAGTGTTTGTAGATGGGGAGGGGAGGAGGGGGTGAAGGGAGGGCAGAGGTAAGGGGAAAAAATGAGAATCAAGACTTGCCATGTAAAGGTACATGATCCCAACAATGAATGTAACTGTACTGTATCCCTAAAATGTACCAATAAACTCAATAAAATTTAAATAAAAAATAAAAACCGCAAGTATATGTAAATATATATATATTTTTAACCATTAAAAAAATCATATATTCAGATTAAAAACAACAGAGGAAATATGAAAAGTTTAAAGTTTGACTTTCTTAAGAGTAGAGAGAACATGTATAAGCAGAATGGGTATTAAATCTCTTGTTTTACTATCCATGCGCACAATTCTATTTTTTAAAAATTATTTTATTTATTGTTATAGGATATTATTCTCTTTTCAGGACATCATTTTGGGGGCACGAGGCCTCCATTTAGTTTTTTAAAGGTATGGGTTCTGGTAAAAGCTCTAATTCAGAACCAAGATTTGCATTCATATTCCAACTTACTGCTTTGTTCCAGTATGACAATGACCAGGTCTCTTCTCTAAGAGTAAAGATGGAATGATGAAAGTTAAAACAAATATCCCATTAGATTTAATGGAAGCTGGGTTCTTTCATGCAGTTGTTTTTGAAATTAAATATTTATATTTGAACTCTACTTGAAACTAACATATATATATATATACACATATATATATATATGCACACATTTATGTACTTTTATGTTTCCATGGGATATTTAGAATTATCATTTTTGATTCTTCAGAATTTTAACCAACTAGTATATAACCACATCTCAATTATCATCTGCCCTTCAAGCCCCCACTGTCTAGAACCCAACAGTATTTTCTGTACTGTTTTCTGGGCAAGTTGGTCACCAGCATCTCTTCATTCATCAAAGCACAGTGCTCACTTATCATATTGGAATTATACGCATGCTAAGGAAGGTAATTTAAGCAAATGTCAGTCTATTCTTCTCCAGCTTCTTTTTGGAGAAGATCCCGTCTAATGTCTCAGATTATTGGGGTTTGTATATGTGAAGTATCTATGGTTATTTTTTATATCTCTTTAGCTTTTTGTTTCATAACAACTCCTTCACTCTGCTCAAAACTTTCCTCCCAAAAAGGAGCTCTACTTCATGTATCACTTTCTTTATTCAATAACTTGAGGCTATTTTTCAAAATTGCTCTGGATGAAGCAAAAGCATATGTCAAAGTTATCCCAAAGAATAAACCACTTAAGATAAATTCACCAGAATTACCTCTAGAAGCGCTATCTTCTTATATTAATGGCTAGGCCTAGTGCTCATTGATCCAGACACATGCAGATTTTCATGGTTAGCCCTCATTCTCAAGCTATGTCTCCAGTGGTGTTATGAGTCACCTCTCTCTGAATAAAGAAATAGAGGCAAAGTGCTTGCATCAAATTAGTTGAAGTAATAGCCCAGTCTAAACTTTTGGGTTTCTTTACATTTTAACAAACACCTGTCTTCCCTTTTCTGTGTCTTCTGCTTGTTACTCATTCCAAAACTACTATATCCAGGGACTATTCCTGCTACAGGGAGACAAAAAGTAAGACACAGTCTTTGCTTTGAGGAATTCGCACTTTGGTGAGAGTGAGAAATACAAAATTGCTTCCACTGGGTGATGCTGGTGGTAATGGAGGGGCAGGAGAATATGAGAGCACACAAGTGGAGAAACGTCCTCAAGACTGGGTAGAGAAAGAAAATTTTGGTCTCAGCCACCTGAGACGAGTAGTTAGCCGAGCAAGGAAGAGAGACAGAATGTTGCCAAGGAAGGAAGCATGCTAAGGCCAAAGGCTGAAAGTGCCGCATGTCATGTTCTGGACACAAGAAAGGTTGCAGTTAGCTAGAAATGGAGGTGGCAAAAAGAGGAATGTCAAGCAACAAGGCAGGACAAGTAGACCAGAGATGCTACACAGGATCTGCTAGCCACACACAGGAGCTCTATTTCAAAGGTGAAGGTAGCATTTGAGAACAATTATTCGGGTGGCAGTGAGTAAAGAACGGATTAGAGGAAAGGAAAAATAAAGGAAGGAGACTGAGGTCCTTTTGAATTAAGTCGGTGTGGGGAGGCAATGGAAAAATGGATATTATGGAAAACTCTTTATGGTGAATAAATAAAAATTGGTCATTGGTTGCATGTGGGGAAGATATGGATGCAGAATAGTCAGAGATGACTCCCTGATTTCTGGCTTATGTAGTAAAAAATTCTGGCCATCCCATAAAAAGGGAATAGAGAAGTAGTGAATTTGGGGAACAGAGTGATAACAGATTAACCTTCACATGTGCTGAATCTGATGAGTCTGTGAACCCTCTACGTGGAAGCAGTCAGCAGGCAATTGACCATGAGCATCTGAGGTGAAAAGAAAGACCTGGATTGAAAACAGAAATTTCAAAGTCATCAAATTCTGGTTAGAAGAGAGAAATCTCGGCACTATGAAGTGTGACACAAGCACACGGTAAATGTCTAAATGAAAATAATTTATTACAGTAAAAGACACATTGCCAAGAACTCCCCTCAAAAATCCTCCCCCTCCCCTCAAACACACTTATCCCATTATTCTTGCCCCTTTCTGAAGCAGTCCCGGAAGTCTTCTCTCACGACCTTAGTTAGGTTATCACGGCAGCCTCAAAATCCTGAATCAATTTGAAACTTTTGCCTTTCATAGTCATTTGACTTTGGAGAACTACCAGAGGTCATACAGTGCCAGATTCAGACAATAAGACGGATGAGGACACAACTTCATGTTTTTACAAGCCTGCTTTTCCACTGGATGGCACTCAGCAGCGGCATTCATCATATTTTTTTACCATACGTCGTAAAGATATGAAAGAAGACTTCCAGGACTGCTTCAGAAAGTGACGAGAACGATGGTATAAGTGCGTTCACAGTGAGTGACAGCATTTTTTGGAAGATTCCTGGGCAATATCTTTTACTGTAATGAATTATTTTTATATAAATACTAATCATATATTTCAATCATACATCCTATATGAGTTCACCCAAGGCCAATGTGTAGCAAGAAATGACAACTCAGCAAGGAATGCTGGGAAGGCCCAAGCAAAAGAAGTCCTTGAAGGAGACATAAGAAGATGGGGCCAGCCGGGCGTGGTGGTGCACGCCTGTAGTCCCAGCACTCAGGAGGCAGAGGCAGGAGGATCGCTGTGAGTTCGAGACCAGCCTGGGCTACATAGTGAGTTGCAGGTCAGTCTCAACTATGTAGGGAGACCCTGTCTCAAAAAAAAAAACAAAAAAGCAAAAAAAAAGAAGATGGGGCCAGAGAGAATAAAGAAGGGTCCTTGAATCGATGGGAGGAGAAGATTATATAAGAAAACAGAAGTTGGCATACAGTGTCCATTGCATCTAACATTTGGGAGATTACTCAGACCTTAAGTGAGTAGGAGTACCGTAGACAAGAAGGCACCTATTTGTAGTGAGTTAAGGTATAAATGCTACATGAAGTTACTCAACTACTAACTCCTGGGACTACAACTGAAATCTATTCCTCACAGTTCTGAAAGCTGGGAAGCCCAGAATCAAGGTTTTGGCAAGGTAGGCTTCATTCCGAATTCTCTTCTCTTGGCTTATGAGTGTCCAACTCACTATCTGCTCACATGACCTCTTCTTCATGTACATAGGGACTGGGGTGGGGGAGGAGTGCAGGCAGACCGGTGTCTCTTCTGATAAGGACACAAATCCCATCACATCTCTTATGACCTTATCTAACCCTAATTACTACCCAATGGCCCTACCTCCAAATACGTCACACTGGAGTTCAGTGCTTCAACATGTGAATTTGGGAGGGACAAAACATTCTGGCCATAACATTAAGTAAGTGATACATTTTAGATGCTTGACAAATGTTGGTTAAAGGAATGCTTATTGGGTGACAATATGGTACCAAAAAGCCAGCAGTGATTCTTTGAGTTAGCAGTGACAAGGAGGGAAAGAATAGCTGCAGGGAGCAGAGAGTAGATTTTGCTTTTGTTTTAAATTAGCATAGTTATATGGTAAAGGAAAAAAGATAGTAAGGGAAGGAAAAGACTGAAGATATCAGTGAAAAAGAAAATTACAGCTGAGAGAGGTCCCCGGAGCAGAAAACAGGCAGGGAGATCAGAATATGGAACTAGCTTGGTCCTGGACACTTCTCCGTTGCCCCATAACTGCAGAAAGGAATTTAAGAAACAGCGTGGAACAGAAGTTTATATAAAAGGAGGCAAGAAGGTGAGGAAGTCCCTGATAATAGCCTTATTTGTCCAACAAAGAAACATGTTTATTTGATAAGAAGGAAGGAGAGTAGAACAAGAGATTAAAATGAATACTGAGGATTGTTAATAGTCATAGCGTGAGACAGTGGACCCTATAGGAATAGAAGGATTACTAGATAGAGCTGAGAGGACAGCTGAGTCTGGACCCATGCGACTTTCCTTCCATCTCTTCTTTGCCTTTTGACTAGCGGCATGAAGATAACAGCTGGGTTGGTCCAAAGGTTTTTTTTCCTTCAACAAAATGGCTGTGAGTAAAAAGTTATGAACAGAGAAACTGAGGATAATGGGTTTAGAGTGATCCATGGGACTAAGTTTGGCTTAAAACAAAAAGTGAAAGCTTGAGGGATTTGACAGAGTGAAGACAAAAGTGTCCAAGTGAACGCAGTGGGCTGAGGGGGTGGAAGAAGCAGTGAATTAGAAAACCATGCATGGCTGAAGCTAGAGACAGGTGGAGGTGCCCTGCCCTCTGTTGGTCAGCTCAAACATCTTTCTTGCTGGCTCCCAACATGACATCTGTTTGTGGTCAGTTCTAGTCCCTTATGACTAAAGTGTGATTTCCAGACAAAACGTCTGTACTATTCTCTTGGCATGTGATCTGATGTGGATAAAATTATGGGAAGTGTGCAATTCCCTTTTTCAGAGTTCTTGAATTTTGAGAGTGCTGACAATGTGGGAATTTTGATGCTTGTCTTGACTGTGTTTATCCAGAAGTCCTTCCCTTCATTCTTTTGGTTTAGAAAGTGATGTACAGAAAAGTGTTACTCCTCATTGATCCTTTCGGGGAGTGAGTCATAGTGAAAAATGCCATGATAGGAAGACCTCTAGAGTTGTTGCATTTCTGGGCAACCACTGATCACATAGGAAGAGCTTATTCTTTCCACAATGAATTTGGACATGTTTTCGGGGAGGGGCATCTGCAGCCTTCAACTCACCATTCGAATGGAGTACAGAATATGGCCATAGCAGTGGGCTACGACACCCATGGGTACCACCAGGCAGCCAAGAAACAAGAAGAGCACAAAGGAGGAATCGTTGGCATCCTTGGACTTCCAATCCACAGTGCAGCCTAGTCCGTGGACGTCCAGGATGTACCTGTTCCAGCCCAGGAGAGGTGCTCCTGCCCATGCAAGCGAGTAGAGCCAGATGTAGGTAATGGCCCTCCAGGCCCAGGAAAAATTGATCACTCTGGCATGGACCACACGAATATAACGTTCATAGGCCAGCACAGTGAGGGTGGTAATGGAAACAATCCCTGTAAGAAGAGAAAGTAGAAAAGTATAGCACAGTGCAGGGCGGCGGGGGACTGGACAAAAGTGATGTGCTACATGCTCCTCCACAAATACCATACAGAGTATCTGAGGCCAACAGAGAGCTCTAAAAGCTAAGACAGGCAAGAATAGTGGGCTCCCCGGGAAACTCCATTCAAAATATATTTACCTATGGAAGAAAACACAGGGTAGAAAATGGCATGTGGCTTGTAGTAGGACGAAATAAAAGCCCTAAAAATCTACCTTGCCCAAATAAGGCAGCTACTGCACTAAATTTTCTACAAAAGAAAAAGAAATTCCAGAGTGAGTCATTGTAATACATGTCTCTTTTAGTTTTCCTTTTCCCAGTTATTACAGTCAAAATGGGTTCCACAAGCTCAAACTGACCAGTCTTGGTAGAATCATGCAGAGGGCTGCCTCGGCCCACCAGCTAGCAGATGTCAGCATCTGAACAGTTCACAGGCGAAGATTGCTAACAAGGTAGGTGAAAGGCTCCTGTGCTCCCTTGATCTTTGTTTATACCTCTGTTTTGCAACAATCCACTTTAACAATATTATTCAGGTATGTCTCTGTCTTTCCCCAGAGAGTGATTCATTTACTCAACAAACACCCTTTGAGAACCTCGTGTTTCCAGGCGTTGTTGTGACACTAGAAGTGCAGTGATGACTAAGAGGCAGAAGGCTAGATGTCTGAAGGGACTGCAGATGTGCAAGTAACACAATGCTTTGGGTGGGTAAATGCTACAGTGGTGCCATCCTGGACTGGAGTCTCAGAGAAGGAAGCCCTGGTGCTCAGAGCTGGAGAAATATCCTGCAGGAAGAAGAGCAATTACGTGCCAGAGCCTGGAAGTGTGAAAGGACAGGAAAGAGTCTATGCATAGAGGATGCAGAGGTGCCCCAGAACGGAGGATAGGGACAGAGAGACTGAGAGCAGTCTGATGAGTCTATTCCAGGCAGCTAAGTTAGATAAAACTATTACAGGCTGTCAGATAGGGGTAGGCCCTTGAGAGAGTCAGGACAAATGTGAAACGCATCACAGCTGTAGCCAGAAACATATCTGTTAGGAACCAGGACTCAAGATAAAGACAAGATGACCAGGCTTGCATCCTTCCTCAAAAGACAAAAACTGGGCCTAGTGAAATCTAGATAGGCACCAGTCACCTGGATGGGTGTCCAAGACCTCTGGACATTCCTAGGAGAATCTGTATTCTTTCTATGCACACTTGTTATGTGACTTGTTTCCCCATTGGACCACTGTTACCTAAGCAGCTATACTTGTAACCTTATTGGTTAATCATAGCTGTAACCCACGTTGTACCCACATGGGTTTTGCTCTATAAAACTTCACTGAAAAGTGGGGTCTCCGGATAACCATTCAGGTCTCCTCCTGCCTCCCAGGAAATACCCTCTCCATAAATATATCCCTACTCTTACCTGCAGTTGTTCTTAGAATTCATTCTTCAATTTTTAGAGAACACTAACTTAGCATATCAAACATCTAACAGGTTGGGAGATAGAATATTTTCATATCCTGTATCACGGCCACACCGAGAAAGGCTCTCAATTTCTAGATAAGGTATTTTCTTGCTTCCTTTTATTTTTAAAAATATTTTCCTCTGAGAAATAGTAAATTATATTTTGTATTACTTCCTTGTGCCGTTTAAGCACAAAGTGACACAATTCTTTTTCCTCTTCCTCATTTTTCTGCCACAGTTTCTCATTCCAGCAGTAGCACAGAACAAGGCGCACAGCCCAGGGCCGTGAGAGCAGTCTGAGCTCGCACCACAGCCCAGGCGGGACACTGGGCCACAGCACAGGGAGCAGTAAAGGCATCAACAGCCACATGTGGATTCCACTGCCACCCAGCAGTTAGCATCGACAGAATCCATCTGCTCACTGAACGTGAAGAGTGAAGGGCAGGAGATAAAGATAACCTGGAGATTTCTAACCTACCTAAGGAACAGGGACTTTACACTAGCCAACAGGGTGTGAGCAGATAGGGGGAAGAGAATGGAATGGCGAGCCGCCTAGGACACAGCAGCAGAAGTGTTTGTGGGATGAATAGGTGGGGAACAGTTGAAGAGAAGTAGCTCTGATAGCAAATGAAAGAAAGACTGAGCTGAGTAGAGTAAGGGTCGGTGAGGGGTGTGGGGGTAGGTTGTTAAGAGGCAGGAGCTCCTAAAAAATCAGAGGCAAGGCACTAAGTAGCTGCGTAACTCCCAGCAAATCATCTCTTCACACCTTGGTCACTGTTTTCATAAAATTGAAGATTCAGTCACACTACAAAATTTTTTTGATTTTGCTATTATGAAAATATGGAGGTCCTTGACTTAGAAATTGCAAGACAGTTCATGTTCACTTACACACTATGACAGCCATTATTATTATTATTATTATTATTATTATTATTATTATGATCATTATTATTTGTATGTAAGGCTGTGTGGGACAGTATTGATCCTAGTATCTGATATATACGGTATACAATGAATATTCATTCAAAAATAAGTGAATATTTACTAAATACTTCAGTGGCCAGAATGTTAGGTTTTTGAAAGAGCGTAAGGAAATAGTTCAGGAAGTAATTATATACTAACAAATAATAGACTTAAATTCAAGTCATAATAAGTAAATAGGAGAACAAAGTATCAAGTTAGATATCTACCTTCAGAAATCTATTTTTACTTTATTAAATTATCTAAAGATTGATATCCTTTAATTAATTATATTACTAAAAGAAAATGTAGAAATCTCTAATTAGTAACAACATGACTCTAATAAAATACTGATTTTATTTAGTTGTATAAACTTTTCTATAAATATAATAGGTTTTTGTTTTTTTTTTGAGACAGAGTCTTGCTCTGTAATTCAGGCTGGGCTTGTACTCACAGTGTACCTCAGGCTGGCTTCAAATTCATGGCAATCCTCCTGTTTCAGCCTCCTGAGTTCTGGGATTACAAGCATGTACCCATCATACCTAGCTAGTAGTATTTAATTTTATAATTGCCTTTACATGTTAAAACATAATTTGGCCTTCAGATTTTAGTTAATTTGCACTGAATGTGATTTACTCCTTCACAGGCAAGAAAATTTGGCACTGTTTTAAATTAATAAACAACACATCTTAGAGATGAGTAATTGAGTTTTTAGAGTTAAAGCAATAAGCTGATATAATAACCTTATATGAGCATATGATTATGTTCATATGTTCATTCATTATTAATATTCATTGCTTATCTAAATGTGTCAATCATTAGGCTAGAAAATAATTATAATAAAAGATCTGTTAAAGTGCATCACAAAACTTAAAACCCAATGGATAAGATACTGTAAATTTAAAAAATCAAACAAGTAAATTACAGCACCGGCAGGGTGTCAGAGCAGAAGAACAGAAGCCCTCAACTTTGGGATAGGTCATTGTTGCAGAGGGTAGTAATTGTCTCCATCTGATAATTTATGTCAAGAAGATTTTTAATCTCTTAATATAGTTTTGCCCAAGTCTTTGCTGAGTAAGCACAGTAAGTTTCACCTGCCTGACTTCAGTCACCAGTGTGCAGTCCTGTAACTGGTTATTACAGACCTAGGGGGAGCATTCCTTGCCTTTCCCAGGCCCACCCTGATGGCACTGGTGTGAGAATGATTGGCAGCTGTAGTAGACCAAATAAGTTTTCTGGGTGATTCATTAGAAATTATCTTAAATCACGTCTTCCTTAGAAAATATGTAGCAGTTCCCCTTCCCTAGGGACACTTTAGTCACCAAAGAATTTTGTTTCTGAGTCAAAATTAGGTATCGTATTCTGCGTAACTCCCAAAACATAACCCAGGAGAACGAAAGGACTGTTTTACAGCTACTTTACGGGTATATTTTAGTGATGTTGAGCCTAATTATGAGCTGTAGTTAAAATACAGGGCGAATATTTAAATAAAAACATGTATTACAGTCACTAATTCCCCTCAAAATGCTCCCTTTCTCTTCAGAATTATTTCGTCGTTCTTTCCACTTTGCGAAGCAGTTCTGGAAATCCTCGTGTTTGTGTCATGAGGAGGTATGCTTAAAAACTAGGGTGAAGCCGAGGATTTAGCTCAGTGGTGAGGGCACCTGCCTGGCAAGTAAGGGCAAGATACTTCGATCCCTGGCACCAAAGGTCGGGGGTGGAGAGGGTGGGACCAGGGTGATATCAGCCAAAGGCAAGGCAGTTTCGGAAAAACATCACCATGTGTCTTCATAGATCTGGCACCACACAACTTCCGGCTCGTCCCCAAAGTCAAAATGACCATGAGAGCAACGTCCATGAATTGATTCAGGACATAGAGGCTGCCACAAGCGTGCAACTAAAGACACAAAAGAGGACTTCCAGAACTACTCAAGAAAGTGGCAAGAGACAGCATGCGTGTGTTCAAAATGGAGATTATTTTAAGAAAGATCCATGCGATATTTCTTTAATTGTAATAAACTTTTTAAGAATTTCAACATTATCATAGTTTTCCATCGTACCTCATATTCCACGTAGTGCCTCCATTTCCCTTAACTCTATGGAAAGTACGGGGAAAGGGACAGCTGAAACTGGGCCTTAGTACAGACAGTATCTCTCTTGACTTGGTAGAGCCACGTTTTGAGAACCAGTCTTGATTCCAAATGTACTGTCTTCATACCACTTGCGTCACTAGAGGGAGATACCTCCTTTCGTACAGATTGTTTTGGGGGTAATTTCCGGATATTGAGATCTTGTAGGAATCTCGTAAGCGTCTCTGGCATGATTCCTGATTCCTACCCTCAAGGAGACGATAGTATTGCATTCCAGGTAAAGTTGAAACTCACATGCTACATTAGAGGGTAGTGTAAAATGATATGTAATCATATGTTAAACTTACGGTGCAATAAAAACCAGAAAAAAAGTAAAGTCCCAGTGGGTTGCACTGTGAAAATGGCTTCATTAAAAAATAGAACTGAAGTTAGGCCGTAAGAGATGGAACGGGCGTCCAAA